CTCTGGGAGAGGGCATGGGGCTAACGGGGACTGCCCCAAACCAGTGACACGTGGCTGAATGCAGTCAGTGAAACCATAAATTGTCTCACAGAGCAAGAACAAGGCAGCACTTATTCAAGAGCCTAAGAAAAGCAGCCCTGGGCTCAGAACCTTAGGGTTCAGAGGATGACCCTCTTGGTCCTCTATGGGCCTCACCATTGGTAGTTGGATTACCTTGACAGCCAGTAGAGGCCTAATTACAGCTTGGCACCCTGGGAAGTGGAAGCACTCATGGCCCACAGGGTTGCATCTCAGTGTTCATGAGAAGTACAGATGTGATGCACAGGGGTTTTGCAAGGCAGTATACTGGTCTCCACCCACATAAAGCAGAGAAATGAGCATCCAGACAGCTGCAGAAGGAAGGAAAAAGAAAATTGCTGCAGCCTCTCATAACACATCAAGCACGTCGATAGCTTGAGAGAGAACAGAAAGATGTTTCACTTGATTTTGCAAAGTAGAGAACAAGTCTAAAATGAGTTCTCTTTTCCTAGCCAGGGAGGATGCTGTATGTATCCTACAGAGTGCAGAAGCTGACCCCACAACAGGCGGGGGTTCCCATGGCAGTTTCAATTGAGAACGTTTGCAAGGCCCTCTTCCTAACGAAGAAAAAAAAGCGACAAATGGAAGTCACTGTGTTTCTATCGCCCTGAAGACGCCAGTAAGCTTTTGTGTCTGTTTAGCTGAAACCTCCCGGTTTCCTTTGTTGTCGGAGTGCATTTCACTCCGGTGTCAAAGTGTGTCAACCCCAAGCTTCCCCTCTGTGCTGCTGGCATGGCTCCAGCCTCCCCAGCGCCTGCTTGGCTCCCTCCTGACACCTCCATCTGATCCATCACAACACCTCGCCGCATAACGAGCAGGCATCATTTCCTCTCCATCAGCACACGCAGAAAGGTAATTAAAGCTGTTTAGGTATTTTTTGTTGCTGTCATTGCTTTCCGAGGCTCAACAGCACAACTGCGACTTCTGCTCAATTAAGTTCCTGGATAAAAATAAAATAAAAGAGGGTCTTTGGCAGCCCTTTATGCCTGCACATTAAAGCTGGAGCCTGGGATTTACACACACACAACCCGTGAAAGGAAATCTTCAAATAAAAATCTCTCCAGCTGGAATGACCATTATGATACCCGTTCACATGCATATCTATATCTATCTGTATGGATATATACATGTACACGCACCATGTATAAAACCCAAATCTGCTGGTGCCTCTTTCTGCTTATGCTAAGGGTGCCTTCCTCCCCATTACAACAGCATTTGCACATTTATGGGAGGAATAAAGGTGGGGGGGAAATGCGTGATCCATGTGGAGAAGCCTTCCCTCTGCCAGCCAGAGAAAGAAGAACTAAAAGGATTATAAAAGTTCAGATTAAAATGATATAAAATCTAGCATTTGGCTCCAACACTAGTGCCTCGGTCCTCTGTAGCTAATCTGTATGCACTCTGTGACCTCCTCGCAGCGAACCCTGCTAAATATATTATTCCCACGGGGGCTTTCACTGCTGCTTGGTGTCAGAAATCAATATGTATGAGGCGCGTGGATGGGAATTTCTAATAGATCTGCCTGGCCCTGTGCTGCTTTTCAATATCTGCCTTGGACTATTAGTGCCGGCTCGGTGCCTGTGAAATAACCGAGATAATCTTTTAAGGTGCACTGTTAAGGTGGAACCTAAATGTTGCCGTTTCAATTAAAACAGAAAAATATATATATTCATAAATCAGGCAGTGCCATGCGTAACCCTGCATGCAGCTTGATTATAAACAATGATGGGGATTAAAGTATTAGGGTGAGTATGCTAATGGCTGAGTTTCTGGGGAATGGTATGCTTGTTTTTGCTTTTTTTTTTATTATCGACAGAAAACTGCTCGGATTGGAGGCGGGGGGACCCACAGCCTCGCTGCCCCACAGCAGCACTGTCACTGCAGTGTGCACCCGTCTTCCCAGAGAGGCAGCAGTCCACCACAGCACTGCTCTCCATTTTGGACTGGTGCTGCCTGGGCGATCGCTTGACATTCTTTGGGGGGTGGCCTATTGATCTGTTATTGCAGAGTAGCATTGGGCCCCCTGCCCATCCCTGCTGGGTGGTGCTCCCACTCCCCCTTTGTTTCCAGCTCGGCACACAGGGGAAGCCGTCTCAGCTCAGCACAGATGCGCAGTGTGGGAAAATGATAACTCGCTGAAGGACCTCTGGCTCTCGCCTCTTTTTGATTATCATTTTTAAAAGGGGAGAGGTAATCGGCTCAATGCGCCGTCAGGCTGAACCCAGCCTTGTGCTGGCAATGACAAGTGGGAGCCATCACCTCTTGGCCACCCTGAGCCCTGCCACCCTGCAACGCTCTCATCATGCTGTAGGTCGCAGACCTGCCTCATAGCCCAGCATTTTTCTTTCCTCCTCTCTCTAGAGCACAGCCCAGCTGACAAGCAAGGCAGCCACCTCCAGCCTGAACCCGTCCTGGGCACCCTGCTTGCACTGACCATCCTCCACACCCTGAGAATACAGGTGTTTACCAAGGGCTCTGGCACCGCCGCGCTGTGTCCTGGATGCCGAGAGCTTGGCTGGTGGTGTTTGCAATACAAACACTCCTCATCTACTGCACGCAATTCCCCGCTGTTTAATAGGGCTGAAGTTCCCTTCCCGCCTCCCCTTTCTCAACCCATCAATTAGGTAGGTAGATGTGAAAACAAACAGCCCATGTGTTTTCTGCATCTCTAAGGAGGTGTAATGGCGCGAAGTGCTGGTTGCCTGCGTTTACTGACGGGAAAAGAGGAGTTTGAGAGGGTCTCAGCAGGCATCGGGCTCTGTGTTTCCATGAGCTCTAGAAAAGAGCAGGGCCGGACTGCAGGCAGAGCAGATGAAGGGCTGGGAAAAAGATCTAGATGTGGCCTCAACCTCCAGAGAGGGGCTATGGGCAGAAAAGTCATCTCCCAGGCAAGGAGTCCTTCATTTGTCTCTTCCTGGTCCATCTGTTCTCCTGCCTGCAGCTCTGAGGCATCTGAGTGGCCTGTTTCACAAGGAAGAAGCTTGCTTTCTCTGCCCTGCCTTGATTATGCCCATATCAGAGCAATGCATTCCAGTCCTCTATGGAGCACAGCTCGTGGCCAGCCTTAGTTAGTTGGACTTGCTTCAAACTCTGCAGACAACCACTCAAACACACCTGAGCCCATATTTTCCATCCATTTCTAAAATTCATCACTGTACCGATACCTCAGAGATGCTGATCTCCTACAGCTCTCAAAGAAGTCTCCAAATCCAACGCATGGTGGAAACCCATGTGGAGCTCATGGCACAAGCAAGCTGTGGAGAAGGACTTGTGACATGTAGTGTGGTCTTCTGAGTAAGTCTTGTGGTGCAAAATCTCAATGAGGTGCAAATTGGGAGCAAACCACAGGAGCTAAGGAGAACAAAATGGCACAAGTACTGCAACTACTTGCCACACTTGTTCTTATGCCCAGTGCTTGTGCCATCGCAGCACTGGGGCAAAGGCCTGCGCATGCAAAGTGCTGCAGCTGTCTGACCTTTTGCCATGGCTTCTGCCTTGCTGCCTCACATCTCAAATCTTTGTAAAGATGGGACTTGACAAGAGGTGTCACATCCCTTCCATCCCAAAGGCAAATGAATGCCCCTTTCTATCATGGGTGTCACCCTCCATTGGCTGCTGGGCGACTCCCCAGCCGGCACATTACTCCTACCCCAGTTGCTTCCAGCATCTGAAATGCAGTGACTTGGATGAACTCCTGGAGAAAGTAGTGAGCACCAACCACATATCCATCCTGCAATACTCACGTGCAACGTAAGTAATACCAACACCTGAACAGAAAACCTCTTTTCCAGTAATAATGATTTTTTCTAAGGTGGGCAGTGATGGTGGGTATCCTACAGCAATGCTGCTAAGGGAAGCTCCATTAAACTGACTTGTTAGAAATTTGTTTGAGGCTGCAATGGAAGCATGCTGGGTGGCTAAACACCAGAAGGGATTGCTTCCCCTGCAAAGTCACCCTTTCCAGCAGAAGTAGGGATGCTTGTGCCCGAAAAGGTGCCCGGCTAGGACCTGTCTCATTCAGCTGCACAGTTCAGCCTCACCTCCCAGCTGCTGCCCACTTCCTTCAGCAACATCAAGATCATGCACACCTCACTGGCCTGTGGTAGTGGTCACAGCCATCCTAACAACACAGTTTTTGTGCACACTTGTACTGCATGTCAGATTGATACAAGCAGAGGAATTCTTCACATCGGTGGACTGTGCGTAGCCACATGCAGGCATTCAGCCATCTGCTTCCAGCCTGCAGAAGTGATGTCCCACCCCAGAGAGCCCTTCGAAGGGACCATTCAGCAGGTTACCAGCCGCTGCCAGCTCATGCAACCCCCAGGGACACAGCGAACAGCTGCAACGTGAGAATTCATTTCAATGAAATGCCAGCAGCATTTTCCAGCCGGCTGAGGCTGAGGACCAGATGTTCGCCACGTGTCGCCGCCTGGGGCACATCAGGCCCCAAGAACATGCGAGGACGCTTCCCAGACCCACTCATGCTGAGGGGGTTGCCCAACGACATGCAAGCAGCCGCGAGCATCGCCCAGCTCGGGCAGGCGTGGAGTAGTGGCGGTGAACGAAATGCTTAATTGGTCTCAGCTGGAGGCTGCTCTGCACGTGTCAGCACGATGTAGAAAGCAGGGCTATGGAGAGGAGACGCTGCAGCAAGCAATTAGAGCAGCCCTACTTCCCTTCCCCCTCTCCGCCAGCCCTCAGCCCTGAAAGTTTGGTTGAGTTCAAGCAGGGAGCATTTCTTACCGCAAAATGAACTCAAGGCGCTGCTGCTGGTATTGCCATGCCTGCTGTGGAGAGCATCTGTGGGGAGAACTGCAGTTACGTCAAGTCAAAGGCCGTACCTCCCTTTCTCCGTTCTTTTTTTTTTTCTCACCAACAGGAAAGAATCAACACAAGAAAACCCTTCGTCCAGTTCAAATCCAAGTTTATTAGCTCGTAAAAGTCTGTTTCCACACAGTAATCATAGGAAATGAATGAATGTTTATGGAGCACAGCATAAAAATATTGCGAGTCAGCCATAGGTTGGAGGTTATGTTGCTCACAAAAATTAATCAGCAGGTCACATGGCATTGCATCAAAAAGGCAAATCAGGTCTAGGAATGCAAACAATCAGATCAAAAAGGCAAAACAAGTCAGAGGAGAGTATCAGAAAGCAATAATTAGGTTCATATCTCCTAATCTGGGTGGCAGATCTCGTTAGACCAGGTTATTTACCCTACTAATTGTCCAAAGTCAGCTTGAAAGTCGGTTGTTCAGTTCTGCATTAAACCACAAATCCTCAGCCAACATATCAGCTGGCCAAATGAGCTACCCAGCCTAGGCATGAGCATCAACACGCAGGCACGTGAGAGACAAAGCACACTTATCACAGAGGCTGGTGGTTCAGACACCCAGCCAAAAGCAGAATCTCTACTAGACACGCAGGCCGAGTTGTTCTAGGCCCCATCCTGATGTGCAAGCCTTCTTTCTGCTTCTTTCTACAAGCCCCCCAGCACCTTCACTGCAATCAGAAGGATCAGGAGGTTTGCCTATCTCCCAGACCCTGTTTACCCTAATGCTGGTCTTCTTCAGGGCTGCATCTGATTGCCAAAGGTAATAACAGGCTATATAGGAGAGCACCCACATTAGGAGAGGTGGGCCAGCAACAGGAGCTTCTGACCTGGGCTACCTCTTTTCTCTCTCCTCTCACAGAAAAAAAGGCTAGCAAACCAGTCCTCTATTTCTACCAATTTATTTATTTTGCCTGAAGATGTGCAGATGGCTAGTGCTATTAACTCTGTAACAAGGGCAGACGTAGAGGACTAAGGAAATAAAGGTGTTTTCTTCTCAGCTGGAGGATTCTTATACGTATTATAAACAGAGCTGGGGGAAACCACTCCGAATAATTAGTCCGGGCTCTGTTTGACATGGCAACATCTGACAATCTGCCCACAAGGATTCTGACTGCTTTATAGAAAAGATCCTGCACTCAGGAAGGCAAAGATGGCTTACACAGACTGCTGAACCCCCAAGTATGAGATCTTTTCATGGAGCAGTCAGCTTAGAGTAAGAACTACCTTCTAAGCCCAGTAACCCATTGGGGTTCATGTCTGAAAACCCCTTTTCTAGGAACGGGTAGTAGAATTACAAACTATTTCAGCTTATTGAGTAATGCCACAACCCTTTCATATAGTTCAAATACTTAGAACAATAGAACCCCTTATTTCCTGAACATGACAGCTTCTTTAGGCGGCACAGACTTTTTTTGTTACAAGATCACTACACACATTTCCTTCACTCTCACTATCTAAGGCAAAACAGCCGTTTTGCAGGTCCCTGCTACCCAGCCAAACACATCTATCCTAAAAGCCAAATGGAAAAGAGAATCAAGGCAATGGTAGGAAGAGATTATGAAAGCTAAGCTCACACTGAACTACATCTTTCCTTCCTCAGATAGGTCCAATGGTCTCAAACTTCATTGTATTTCCTACTGAGATGACGCGTTTCTTAGATTTTTGGTCCATCTACCCATGCCCAACACATGCTGGTGACCGAGTTAATCCTTGTGAAGTTCCTCCAACTTCACAAGTTACCTAGCAAAGCCCATGGGAATCCAGGGAGGACTGGATGTCCCAGGAAGCACGCTGCCTCGTACCACTAGGCCATTCATAATTTCAGACTTGTTCCTTGGAGAAATATCAGAGAGAGCTGAAGTGGCTAGTGGCAAAAACAAATTGAGTCCATCACAGCCTAGAAGAATCAAGCTTTTCGCAAAAGGATATTTTCCTTCCTCTTAATAGCTTCACTAATGAGTTTGTCAAGTTTTGGCTTTGAAGAATTACCTACTTTTTATTTGAGTTTGTTGTTTTTTTTAAAGATTTTTTTTTTTTAATTAAAAAACAAAAGCTATAAAAAGCTAGAGGTAGTTTTAAACTGCAGAGTTCATATCTGGGGTGAATTTTTCTCTGGAGCTAAGGGATATTTTTCATTCAGACTAGTATAAAACAATACCCTGGGGGAAAAAAGTTGAAAGAGAAAGCATTAAAGGAATAGGAACTCAGAGACCTTTTCCTGCTTCCAAATCGACCATCTCATGAAATTAGCACATTTCCTCCCTGTGAATTCTGTACCTAATCCAGAGACATCACTGATTGTGCCTAAGCAACTTGGCAGCCCCTTTCTTCCTCCTCTTCAAACAACTCAAGGCTCATCCCTGGTGCTGTCTAATGAGCGGTCTAGGTCTCATAAGAGCATATATCCTTACGGATTTTGATGAGAGAAGATGGGATCAAGGGAAAATCCAACTCCGTTCCTTTTGGTTTTATTGCTTTCTCTAAAAACCAAAAGGATACACCTAGGCTTCCCAGAAAATCAGCTGGCATCGAAGGAAACCTTGCAGCCCAGGGGCCATACCTCTTCTTTCCACCCCTCTCACAGTCCTGCACTGGCACACTGAGCTGACATTATGTTTATACGAGGTGTAATGGCAGAGCAATGACATTCCAAACTTCATGACAGTCAGGGGACACGCTACCCACTCAGCCACACACTCTCCCACCTACTGGCATGATGTTAGCACCTGTCTGTAGCACAAAGGAAGAAAATGGAAATGAGAAACTATTTCCTAGGTATAGCAGGAAAAAGAGCAGAACTTCAAACTGAAAGGCGGAAAAACAAAGAGAAGGATATTGCTGTCACTCTCACACAAGCCATGTTTGCAATCCCAAATGCTCCAGTACTGATGTGACAATCCACCCTCAGGTCTACAATGTGCTGCAAGAGTCACAGATGAGATTTCACCATCGTACGCTCCTCCCTAGGAAACAAACCGCTAACTCGTCACATCACTCCCACTCCATTATACAACAGAGGTCTGCACCAAAGGGCTGAAGACCTTTCTGCAATCTGTCTTCCTTCTAACTCCACCTTTCACAGTCTCTGCAACTCAACATCACACTCCTAGTCTTACAAAGGTGGTACTATTTTCCTGTTCTCTTAAACAATTCAGAGCACAACGGCACCTGCAGGTACACAACTTATGGGGTTTCCAATGACTGCCAATTGAGAAGGAATTAGTTGTGTAGCTATTGCACCGCCACTTCATAAGCATTCATTCCCAAACGTGCGATTGAGGTCAGCTTTTGGACCCTCTTCATCATTTTGAGGATTCTTTTTTAAAAGAGATTTTCATTGCTTAGGATCCCACAAACAAAACCTGTTTATGGAAAAAGAGAGATATCTTGAATACTAAAGTCCTTTATTCAACAACACAGAAATATCACAAAAACAACTTTACTGGGCAAATTGAATGTTTTTATACAGTTTTGTACATGCCCCATAAGTGATTTTTTTTCATAAATACACCGTTTTCCAAAACTGTTTTTTTTCCATAATTGCACAAGCATACATACACCTTACACAAATATCTATTAGAAAATTTAATAGATAACTGCACAGTTCAGAAATAGGAGAACACTGTGAAAGGAGTACATTTCTGTGGCTCGTGTTTCTGAAAAAAAACCTCCTAGTTCCCTGCAATTGTGAAAATGGAGTACTTTCTAACATAGGAGCTGTCTTTTATTCACTAAAAGTACAGTAGAGCTCAGCGTGAAACTGCCAAATTTAATAAAAACAAAATCTGAAACATTTAGCTGTTACATGAGAATCCACTGTTTGATATCACTATGCATCTAACCATGATCAAAGACCCACTACTGCTTTTTGCTGAGTGTATTCGACCCTGAATGGTATGTTCATTTAACTACTTTCTTTCTTCATTATTTGATTACAGATATAGCCCATTTAAAGACTTGATATGCTTTAACATTAATTGCATGACTTACATACCAGGGGTTCTGCACAAAAGAGAGCATTTCCCTCTTAGGGGGGGTCTGTTATTAATTTACAGAATGGGTACGTATGCCTCCCGTTCAGCCTTACCATTTTTCCTACATTTATCTGGGGTATGCCAACAATGCTTCCATTAGGCTTAGTGCTCATACCTAGAAGACTGTGAAATTGTGTTCTGCTTTTCTTTTACAATTTCTAACTTTTTTTTTTGCACCGTGTGAATGAAAGACATAGAGGAATACAGATTTTCATACTGGAAAATATTTTTGGACTTTGAGAAAAGCACAAATTAGGTCATTAGAACTTGAAAAAAAAAATAAACCATTTTACAAATATGTATACAACAGGGGAGGAGGAAGGCCAGCAAAGGGATTTCCTTCTTCAAACATCCCAAACCAAAACCTCTATGCGTACCACATCTCAGAAATACTGTTTTCCCCAAGTCTAAAACCACAATGGTGTAAAGGAACAATATCCAAAATGAAAGCCACATGGGGAAACCAAAGAAAAATCAACTCTTGTTCTTTTTCAGTAATTAACAGGTTTGCTTGTTTGTTTTTTAACAATTTTGAATTGACATGTAAAACACCACAATTACAATATACAGATCCATCAGTTCTTTAAAAGAAAACGACAAAACAAAAAAAAGAAAGCACATCAAGACATGCAACATTAGGGTATTAGACAGTAAGTACATCGCTATGAATATTCTTTGTACACCTAATGCAGCCTGAATTTAATCTTGTCTCTACTTCTTCAAGAACAATCACAATTTTCCAAAAAGCAAGGCAAGCTTACCAGCCAGATGTGCAAATAAGGCTTCAGTTGATAAATCAATCAGCATTTTAGTAGAGAAGACCTTACAGAGCTTGTGTTAGTCAATTGGTCAACAACAGAGGCCCTAACCAAAAAGTCTCAAACACAAAGAGAAATCCGTACACAGTTGACATAAGAACAGACGTAAAGCTCATTGTATGCTTATCCAACTGATGACCCCTTATAAACAAAAAGAGGGGCACTGTGACAGAAGCATTTTGAGTGTAACACTCCATTTCCAAAGTCATGCACGCAAAGACATAGGCCTGTGGTCCACCCTTCATCCATCCATGCTCCTCCAGATACAATGACCCACCCATGCCCAGCCCAGCCGACAACGCGGGTAATCTCAGGAGGCTCCTCCTGGAGGACCTTGGCTCCCAAGAGCCCCCTCCCCTGCCAAAGCCAGCATCCCCTCAGCCACACAGGCCCCACACTGCCACACTCCCCACCATCCCACACGATCCACCTCATGAGGGTGACTGGGGACCACAGGCTGGAGCACTGAGCACATTCATGAAGAAACAGCTGAAATGAGAGAAGATTTGGGTGGGCTGTGCACCACTGATCAGTTCTTTCCATGCCCAGCACCTGTTCTGTGAAACTACTGGCAGTCTTACTTTGTATAAAACGATAAATCTATCAAGTATGTGGCACAACAGCATTCATTTACTTTGACGGGATGGCCTTTTCACTCATGAATGGTATGGCCGAGCAATAAGAACTGATGATCAACCAGTATTAAGTATCGCTAAGTTTCAGTATCCTCCTTATTTTTCCCAGCTATTTCCTCCACACAGACAGAACAGGAAGGAGAGCAGCACAGCACTCTGCTCAGGGCCTAAGGGAGCAGTGGTTCAGCAAAGCTGAGAAGAGTGGAACAAGGACCATGTAGGGAGGTCTTTGTTATTGAAGTATTTTTAAATTCAGTTTTATACTTCAAAAATATTCAGGTTCTCAAATAAATACAACTGCAAGCGAGACCCAAACCAGTACAGTGGTCAAAACTCAACCGTGAAGAGCTCCTCTTGGACCAAAAATACTGCATTCAGCTTTACAAAACATTTACTCCACTGACCAAAAACTTTATGTAAGAACCCGTACACGGAGGGCAATGAAGCCGAGTCCTTATTTATACTAAGGGCTCATGCTCACCTCATTTTCCATCCTAGAACAAGCTTTATGCACATCCACATAGGCTGGGCACTTCGCCTTAGAACTCAGTGAAAAGTAGGTCAAACACCATACAGCATTTTTGGATGGATACCCCTATGTAAAGCTCCTTCGGAAGCAAGGCAAGTGCATTAACCACTACTCTAATATAGTGCGTGAAAGATTAATCTTACATTATATGTCCTCCCCTCTCACAACACCATGATGGAAGGTAATTGCTACATGCGTCACAATCTTTTTATCTTCCAAAACTTGGTATCAAGTCTCTATGGAAGGATGCATGGTAAAACAGTGCTGCTGTTACTGCTGCTGCTAAACAACTAGCAAAATAATATTTAAAGCTAGGATTTATTGCTCCGGATTTAACTCGCAGAACCACACCGTTGTGTACAAACCATTAATCTCCATAGATGCTCAGACATGATTGTCTCCTTGTGTCTAAACACACAAAATACAAGCGGCTATCTGTACAGTTTACAGTACTGAAACACATATATTTGAAAATGAAGTATAGATATGTTACTTTTCAAAGATACATGACTTTATAGCAGGGGTTTACCCAAACTTTTTTTGTTTTTTTTTTTTGGTTTTTTTTTTGTGTTTTTTTTTTTTGTTTAACAGCCACTTTAAAAATAGACAACAACTTCACTAGTATAGCTAAGTTACATCAAAGAAAGAATCAGTGTACTGAATGTGAATAAGCTGGCCAATTCCCCAGGCTCCCAGATTTTTGTCTTTTGCTTTTGAGGAAACCCCTATACAGAAATGAAAATAGTATCTGAGTATATTCTTCAGTGGTAGACTAAGCAGTTTCTTAAAACAAGACTTTAGCTTGCCATTCACTTCGGACTGCCTTGAAAATAAGATACACTACTGCTTAAAAGAACCATCGGAATGCTTCAGCGCTGGGAACAGGTGTTCTCTAAAAAAAAAGCAAGAAAACAAGTTAAGCTTTCTTTTGTGGCATTACAAAACTCGATTTCTTCTCTTTGTTCTTTCCCTGTACAATTCCGGCATACTTTCAGTTATCTAGGAACAGCACGATGCCTCACGCAGCTTGACAATTCATAGAAACATCCCTCCTCCAAGCACATGCCATTACAGGGTCACATGTGACACATCTTAGGCAGTAAGTAACACCCCTAGCATGCAGCCTCTTTAGTTAGCTAAGCAAGGTAGTCACGGGCGTGTGAACATCAGTATCAAAAACATCTCCTGGAAAACAGACAGTGCCTTTGGAATGACCACACAACCTTGCCCAGCTGCAACTCGGCACAGCGTACGGTTTGTTGGCTGCAGGAGGGTGGGTTGCTTGCCAGTCAGGCATGTGTTTTGGCAGGAGCAGTTCTTCGGACAGGGGCATAACAGGCATTGCTCTACCTCCCTTCATTCCACATTTCAGTTGAAGCACATCCTCAACTTAGTTTGAGGAAGGGAAATACCAACTGACCCAGGGGGCTGCCCAGGCTGCCCACCTGCTTGCTTCCATACACGTGCTAGGCCCCTGGCCTCACATCAAACAGTTTGCCTTCAGGGCTGCTGCTCTTCACCCCTACCGCTCCACTTGCTGTCTCCCCAGAACGATATCCACCTGCATTTGGGTGTCCCACATGCATCTGAGCACAGGCCAGTTCCTTTCACACCTCAACGCATAGTGTAATATACTTTACATACTGACATACAGAACCGCTGAGGGAAAGCAGCATCACAGCACATGAGATTACACTAAAAACACAACCCTGGGACACAAAGACTTGCTGATGTAGCTGACCATGTATACAAATACCAGCTTGTCTAAACAGGGTCTGTGCTACCACTATATCTACCCCGTGTGCTCACAGAGCAGCAGCGCAACCCACGCTACCCAGCACCCAGTCCCTCTCCATAAGGGCTGGTGTCCCAGAGATCATCTGAACACCAGCTCCCTCAGGCAATGGCCTGGTTTTTAAATACATCTGCCTCCAACAGTAAGAATTTCCATGGAGCAATAGCCTTAAAGCAGGAGTCGCTGGCAGCCAGCCTGCCAGCCCCTCACCAAAACCTGAAGCATGAGCAGCTGTCCGGGAACATTGAGGACAGCCCCAGGTCAGCACAGGCTGTAAGATGGCTGCTGAGCTCCAGCCAGGGATGTGGATTCATAATTCATAAGGAGGTCGGCTGCAGGAAAGGCTTGAGTTCAGAGTGGAAGGAAGCAATCACACGCCTAAATTGATCTCAAAAGAGCAGCCAGACATGCAAATGTATTGAACTCGATATATTGTCTTCGCCTGAAAACTAAACGTAATGCTTCTCCATGGGTCCATCTACCTAAACACGAAAAACCGCAGCTAGCTAGACAGATTTAAAGGCATAGCAGCTGCAATGGCCTTTATTTATTTCCTCACAACATCAGGTTGAGTTACTGTCAGACGTTGTCATATCGGCTAGAAGGAAAGGTGCAATGTCTGATTAAAAGGTCATTCAGACCTTTAAATGCACAGAATAGTATTTCTGAAGGGCAAGGCTGTAGTTTAAGATGTGTGCTTTCAAAAAATCACAAGATACAGAATTTTGCATCCGCAAGCTAAGTTCTAATTACAGATACACATTTACAATCAAATATCCAGTATGCTAACACCCCAATTTGGGAATAAATTTTTCATCCACAATAAACAAGAAAGCTTTTAAAAGGGAAGTAGATGGCCCAAGTTAACACAAACCCGATTTATGAGACAAGGCCCTTAGGGCTGAGCCCTGTGAAAGCTAAGGTTATTTCACGACAAAAAAGACCCTGCAGCTCACTCGGTGGCTCAGCTCAATTGCAGCCTCCATCTACCGCCTGCACGACTAAACTCGGGAGTCCCAGCTGGGAAAGGCAGCTCTGGAGGAGATTAGGGCACGCTGTGGCCTCGTGCTCTGCCGGCGGGGTATCATTATCCTGAGTGACAGCGAGGACAGATTCCCCCGTGCATCGGGCGAGGAGCAGGCCGGGGGCTGATCAGCATTCCTGAAGGCAGCCGTTGCCGTTCACACTGGTGTAAATGCTGACAAACGGCAGCTTGGCTCCCAGGAGAATGCTCACAAACCCGTAATGCTGTAAGGCACGGCAGGATGGAGGATTTATCCCTGCGCAAGCCTGCTGCCAAACGACCTTCCCGCTTAACACTCGCTATTGCGTTTTCCTCTCAGCAGCTTTCACCAGGACATAAGTTTGCTGCAGAAGTGGAAGGTGCTGCTCAGATGTAGTGAAGATTCTGTTTCACAAGGTGAAAAAGGCAACTAGGACTGATAGACCTGGGAAAATCCCTGAAATTAAGCAGCAGTAGGAAAATCACACACGTATTCATCACCAGAGACTATTTTGACAGCTGACTTCTTCATTCTTACATCAAAGGTGTTCATTAAAGATCAATACCCTCCACATTGGGTGGACTGACTACCCAATGGATCCTAAGGGGCTACCCACAGGCCCACCTGCTTTCCCAGGCCAGCTCCAGCCCCAGCTCTTGGCTACTTTATACCCTTTATACCTACAAAACCTGCTGGAAGTGTTCATGAGTCTCACAGCTGTTGGAAAGATTCTAGGCAGATTAGAATCAGGAGAGCCAGCCACTCCTGCTATGGATGCTGTTGTTTGGAGTGCACCCAAATCCTTGGGTTTGCTCTAGATCACTTTCAGTACTATTTTCTGTAGGGCCAGGGAATCCCTTGGGTAGAAGTGAGCTGCATTCAGAAATAGAATAGAATACTAAAATGTATTGGAGTGCTACATGATGATGCCCTAATACCTTACTAATGCTAAAAGATGTTGCATTATGTAAGAACCCTTTGATGTTTGATCTGAGAGCAAAAAACCTCTTCTCACAGAAGCAAACCCACACATTGGCTACAGCAAGTTATTTGTCAGATGTGGCATTTCTCTTCAGGAGTCCTGGCTAAAACAATTTAGCTCTACAGAGGCCTTTTGGGAGATATACTGCTGCTGGGGTATGTTCAAGATACTGGCAACCCAACAAACCTATGCAAGCACAGAAACTGGAAGCAGGGAAGGAACTTTGCCCTGACTGAATCCAAAATCCCAATTGCAATGCAACCAAAACTGGTATATTTTCTCATATTTCCCAAAGCAGCAGGACTGGTGCTGGCCACATAGAGGAGAAAGACCATAGGAAAGTCAGTGTTACAAATCCTACATGAGTCTCAGGCTGGAGAACCATCTCTGCTGAAATCTCTTCCACAGGAGTGGCGGGTTGGCAGTTAGGCTACTGGATGCACAGCACGAAATCTGGGCCAAACGTGTTTTTTACAGATAGTTACACATTTATACATTTGTAGGCATATATGTATACATACAGATAGATACATATACACCAAACTAAAGTGAGAAATTCAAAGCTACATGATGACCAACAAGTTCAGTTGAGAAGTCATGGTGCCGCATGAAACACCATTTGGATCAATCAGCAGCCCAAGAGCAAACACTGACCACTGCTGCCAGTGACTGCACATATCTCTTACACACTTACGAGTATGGACTACAGAGCACAATGTCTGCAAGACTGCCTGAGAAGAGCAGAGCCCCAGCAGTGAGCTCAGCCCCAAGGTGAAACGGCCTTTCCCCACGCCACGCGCCCAAAGGCAGAGCCACCAGGAAAGGAGAGCAGTCTTTGGAAGCAACTGCTGCCCGCTTTGTTCCCCTCATAAATATACATTACCTACAGCGATGACTTTGGGGAAAACCTCCCAGCACTCACATCCAGCCCGCACAAAGTCTCCTTGAATGTTTGCCTTGAGGCGAGGAGGCTCTGGGGCACAGAGCTGGTGTGTGGATCCCCCGCCTCGTCCCCCCTGCAAACAGAGAGCCGCTGCCAATGTTGAGCCCGAGCGGTAGGAGCCATCCCAGTCTGTGGCCCCAGCGGGCACAGGGACAGGCATGGGGTCTCAACATTGGCTGCAGCCCAGGCTAAAATCCCTCTCATGCGGCTGAGCTGTGGGCCTGGTTCTCTTCAAGCTGAGGAGGAGATTTAACATTTATTTTAAAAGCTAGCTTTATTTGCTCAGGGAAGACATGAATCTGCTTGCCAGCAGCTATTTTTCCACTCGCACTGCGTATCTCCCGCACCGTATTTGACACAAACCAGATTTAGCACACACCGGGTTAGGAAACTCATTTGGCTTTCCCCGCCGAGTGCACGAAGCGAAAAGCAAAGCTCTGCCACAAAATGCAGCAAGTGGCAATGTGAGATGAGCAGCTCATCTGGGGCAATGCCTCAGGAAGCCAGCTCCTCCCCGGCAGCTTCCTCAAAGTAGCCCCAGAAGCACGGGGTCTTGCTGCTGGGCTCAGCACGTGCAGCAGCTCCTGGCCCAGTCAGTAGGGTGAGCCTGGGGCAATGGGTTTCTCCCCAGGAGAAAGAATGAGCAAATGTGTCTCTCCTTTACATGCAGCACACACTAGAATTTATTTTATATATTCTTTTTTTTTTTTTTTTTTTTTTGCTTTATATATGAGATTAAGTCTGGGGAATGGGTAAACAATTTCAATTTTTGATCTAAAAAGAAAAAAAAGCGTAACATCACTGGAGAAAACAGATGGTAAACAGACCAGAAGCCATAAGGAACTCAGCCTAGCTCAGCTCCATCTCCACTGAGCACCAATGGCAGCACCAGCCATGCCAGCAATGTCACAGTGCTACGCCTGAACCAGGGCTGAGAAGGTCAGAGGAGCTGCCACGCTCCCTCGTCCTGACAGTGGGAACGCACATCAATAAGCCCAACATGCAGTCATAAAAGTTGAGGAGTGTTTTGTAAAGAAATTCTTGGATGCTGGTTTATTACCGTCCCTCAACATAGAGCATGAGGCGCTACTATGCAAAAGACACGACAAGTGAAACATCCAGACTGCTGCTCAGCTCCTGCTTTCACCTAGGTCCCAGCAGGTGCCTT